GAGGAGGAGGAGGAGGAGCAGGAGGAGCAATAAGAGGAGGAGGAAGAGGAGGAGGGGGAGGACATAGCAGAGAGCAGAGAGGAACGAGGCAAGCTAGGTGCGCTCGCGCCATCTCTGACAACCTACCCCATCCCACCCATCCCTTCCCATTGCGCTGAGTGTATTTGTATCCGCCGGCGCGTGTCATGGTGGACCTGGAACTCGCATTCTGACAAAATGGAGCTGCGTAAACTGAAGGAAAGGGTGGCGGATGAACATGATCGTGGGGAAGGAGGATTCGGATCCAGAAGTTTGGCCCGCGCTGGGGTTGAGGGAGCGCCATCCTGAACGGCGGGAGCAGCGCGCCGATGCTGAAAGGAGGTCCCCCACTCTGCAGCGGGAGCGCCCTTGTGGCAGGAAAGCTTTCGGAATGGAAGGACACGTGAGGAGCAAAAGCAGCTGGGCCCAAGCTGGCGTAGCAGCAACACTGCGCAGAGGGGGGGGCGCGCCACTCGCATGACGCCTGCGGGACAGACAGGAGAGTCGTTCTCATATATGGTGGCAGTGGAAAGAGGAGGAGGACGAGGAGGAGAAGGAGGAGGAGGAGGAGGAGATGGAGGAGGAGGAGATGGAGGAGGAGGGAGGAGGAGGAGGAGGAGGAGGAGGAGGAGGAGAAGGAGGAGGAGGAGGAGGAGGAGGAGCAGGAGGAGCAGGAGGAGGAGGAGGAACAGGAGGAGGAGGAGGCGGATGAGGTGAGGGGGGGATGGAGGAGGAGGGGGAGGAGGCGGATGATGAGGAGGGGGTGAGAGGAAGCGGACGATGACAGATCTGAGAGGGGGAGGCGGTAAAAGAAAGAGGAAGACCAGAAGGGCGAAGGAGGGAGAAAAAGCGGAACTATCACATGTCAGCGCGCAGGAGACGGAATGTGGACCATAATGATACCGATGTGCAGCAGCGATGCTGCAGTACCTCCTCACGAGTCCCTGCAAGCCTCTCCCTTCATTGCAAGAATCGCCCCCCTGGCACGGCCGGCACCCAACGGGCCTGCTACTCAGGCGAAGGCCCTGCTTTGAAAAAGGAGCAGCCTTGCATCCCTCCAGCCCGTGGTCAGGCATGCGCAAACTTATGACCGATCAAAAAGGACCCCCCCCACCACCAGTGTCTCTGCTACACAACGTTGCCGCTGTTGCCTTGCACTTCGAAATGTCTTGAGAGAGAAGACCCCATTCTGAGAGTGTGCCGTCCTCCATCCGTGCAGCTGCTACATCGACTGAAGCTTCTGGCCTCTCAGCTTGCGGAACTTCCAAGCAAGAACCTACTTTCGAAAGGGAGACGCTCTCCGTCCTTCCAGCTCCTGCAAGCTTGTTCAACCCATGTGCGCGGCGCTCAAGCGAGAGCTCCACTGTGAAAAGGAGCTGTCGCTCATCCCTGCCAGTGTTGCCGGCTCTCAGGCCCGATGTGCCCGGCGCGCAGGCGAGAGCCTGGTCTCGAAACGACCCGTGCTCCATCCTGGCAGCTTCTGCACACTTGGGGGCCAGCAGCTCCTCCGAATCCTTCTCCTCCTCCTCCTCCTCCTCCTCCTCCTCCTCTCCCTCCTCTTCCTCCTCCTCCTCATCCTCCTTTCCCTCCTCCTCATCCCTCCTCCTCCTCCTCCTTCTCCTCCTCCTCCTCCTCCGCTGACGCCCAAAATCTCAGACGTCGCGATTTTTGTTGCAGGGTGGATCCCCAGAAGCTTCGACCCCCTCCCTAGGGCTGGCCTTCCATCCTGAGTCGTTCTTGACGGCCCTGGGGCTGAGGCCCGGTGAGGGCCCCTGGCGCCGAGGCTGGGCAGACGTCTTCTGTCGTGTCTCGACGACGCGAGGAGGTTTGGGACCCTGGGCAAAGACCACCTCTACGGTACGAGCTCGACCACAAGAGACCTTCCACAAGAAACCCAACCCGGAGACCCCAGGGCGTCCAGTGATTTTTGGTGTGGGAACGTCACGCTCTCCAGGGCAAGACCACCGGAAGCCCAAGAAACCCAGCGCACCCTGGAGGCAAGCAGGGTGTCTCTTGGCATGGGTGTCCGCTGCGTCGACACCTTGTACGTTCAGAAGGTGGAAAGGAGTCCGGGGACGCGCTGGCCCGGGTCAGCGCCGATGCCCTGCCGCGAGCCCCAGCCGGACGCTCAGAAATTTCCCAAGCTGGGCCAGCGGAGGGCGGGATAGGGGGGGATCGGTTCCACGTGACTGGTTCTGGAACATCCTGTACCAAGACAGCTTGTATGTCGACACCGCTCGCGAAATCTTCAGAACGGTAGGCTGTCGCCTGAGACATCCTCACAAAAATGGAGCTTCCGCCGAAGGCATCATCGAAACACCGAGTGTTGAACACCATGCTTTGAGTCCTCTCATGTTGAAAATTGAAGCCTCGCTGGAGACGTCCTCTGAAAATGGATGTCCAGGGAGCTCGCGAAGTCGTAGTATTCTCAACATTTAAGCTCTCGCCTCTGACTGCCTACCAAACCACCCCAACCCAACCTGAAGACCCGAATTTCGGGCTGCGGGGGGTACGGGTTTCATACATGTTGTTCCCAACCATCCTGTGGTGTTGGGTCCTCGTTTTGAAGAGACAACGCCCCGCGTCCTTCCTCCTTCCTGCATCCTTCCTTCCTTCCTCCTCCCTTACTCCTCTTCCCCTCCCTCCTCCCATCCCTGCCTCTGTCTCCTCCACCCAATAATGCGTTTCGTGGCCCCACACGGAGCCCCAGTGGCACCGCCAACATATGTCACCACCACCCAGCACAGCGCTTCGTGGCCCCAGGGGCAGCTCCACCGAAGGCCCCAGTGGCACCGCCAACATATGTCACCACCACCCAGCACAGCGCTTCGTGGCCCCAGGGGCAGCTCCACCGAAGGCCCCAGTGGCACCGCCCGCATGCGTCACCCCCACCCGGTATTACGTTTCGTGGCCCCAGAGGGAGCTCCACCGAAGGATCCAGTGGCACCGCCCGCATGCGTCACCCCCACCCAGTACAGCGCTGCGTGGCCCCGTAGGGAGCCCCACCGAAGGCCCCAGTGGCACCGCCCGCACGCGGTTCCCCTACCCAGTACAGCGCTTCGAGGCCCCATAGGGAGCTCCACCGAAGGCCCCAGTGGCACCGCCCGCATGCGTCACCGTTGCGTGGCCCCATCAGGGGGGCTCCATCGAAGGCCCCAGTGGCACCGCCCGCATGCGTTTCCCCTACCCAGTACAGCGTTTCGTGGCCCCATAGGGAGCTCCACCGAAGGGTCCAGTTGCACCGCCCGCATGCGTCACCCCCACCCAGTGCAGCGCTTCGTGGCCCCAAAGGGAGCTCCACCGACTGCCCCAGTGGCACCGTTCGCATGCGTCTCCCCAGTGGCACCGCCCGCATGCGTCACCCCCACCAAGTACAGCGTTTCGTAGCCCCACAGGAAGCTCCACCGAAGGCCCCAGTTGCTGCACTCGCATGCGGTCCCCCAACCCATTATAACGTTTCATGGCCACCATAAGGAGCTCCACCGAAGTCTCCTGTGGCGGTGTTCGCATGCGTTTCCCCCACCCAGTGCAACGATTCAGGGCCCCATAGGGAGCTCCACCGAAGGCCTCGATGGTGGTGTTCGCATGCGTTCCCCCCTCCACCCAGCATAGCGCTTCGTGGCCCCATGGGGAGGGCTCCATCGGAGGCCTCAGTGGCTGTACTCGCATGCGTCACCCCTATCCAGTACAGCGTTTCGTTGCCCCATAGGGGGCCCCACGGAAGGCCCCAGTTGCGGGCCCGCCCCATTGCGACGCACCCCTTACACTTTCCGCGGCCCCGTAGTGAGTTCCGCCTAAAGGACCAATGGCAGCGCCCACATGGCGGCCCCGCCCCACATCGGCACACCCTTCGCATGCTTGATGGCCCCGTGAGGAGATCCCCCGAAGGCGATACCCGCAACGACGGTACTCACAACTTCAGATGGTTGGGTCCTTCGACAGGATAATTTCTAACTATGTTCCCCGACCCCCCCGCTGGGAATGGACGGCACATTGGGGCCTTCGGGTTGGGTTGGGGTGGTTTGGTAGGTGGTGAGCCTCCTACCCCTGGAAGGCGAGGTCCTTCCTGGAGCGCCCCATCGCGGCTCCCAAACCTGGGCCAACCAAATGAACGAATTGACAGACCCCCGCTGGTGCTGCCCCCCGTCACGAGCGCCCTCCGAGAGAGAGAACGAGAGTGACTTCTTCCTACCAAACCACCCCAACTTAACCGGAAACCCCAAATTTCGGGTTGGGGGAGGTACGGGTTCCACATGTGTTTTTTCAATCTTTCCCGACGCCCCCCCGCCCACTGGACATCGAGGGCAAATTTGAGCCTTCGGGTTGGGTTGGGGTGGTTGGGTGGGTGGTCAGAGAAGCTCAGACATCTGGCGTCGTGATTTGTTCACGCCGTGGCTTCCCAAAAGTCAAGGCCCCTTCCAGGGGGGTTCGTCCCTTCATCCCGAGCCGGTTTTTCACCGTCTTCGGGCCCGGCAGGAGCCCCCAGTTGCCGAGAACTGCCATTAATCTCTCGTCGACATTATTGTCGCTACTTTTATCTTGCGGCGCCCATGAGGGGCTGGGACAAGGGCTGCGGCTTGCTAGGAAGGCGAAGGATCTTCTCAATGGCAACGGCCTTCTTCGATTATCCTGGAGGCTTCCAAGAAGGCTTCTTAGAAGCCAGGCGGGCTTCGAGGAAGTACCCCTGCCTTCTTACAGTGGGGGCCCGATCACAGAAAACGTTTCACAAGAAACCCAACCCGGAGACCCAGAACGACCATCGATTTTTGCTTGGTGTGGGAGCGTCACGCTTTCCAGGGCAAGACCATCGAAACCCAAGAAACCCAGGGCACCCTGGTGGCAGGCAGGATGTTACTTGGCATAGGCCTCCACGTGCCTAGAAAGAAGGCCCCCATCCTCGCGCACCCCCCATGTGGGCGCGCGGCGCGAGAACGTGAGAGGACAGCGCTCAGAGCACGGCTGGCTGCCGCGGGGCCGCCGTCCTGAGCGCCCGCCTGGCAGCCGATCGCCTTGTTGGTGCAGCACCAATCCTTCTTCGCGACCGACCAGCCCGCCTCGGGGCAGCGGGGGTCAGGGCACGATGGAACCAAAAAGCTCTCCAGCTGTGACTGCGCGGTATTTTTCCGCCTGGCTCCGGGGAGTGTCTAATGCTAGGTCGGGCATGTCCTCCTACAGGCGGATTTAGGCAGAAACGTAAAAAGCAGTCAAGCAATAAGCAAACATAGTCAAAAGAGCACGGCAAATCGTTCCCAGACAATTTCTTGACTACTCTGGAATCTTCCTCTTGTAGAAGGACATGCCCGACTTCAGCCTGGCTGCAAGGAGTGTCTAATACCTTCTAGATTCGAGCCTCGGCGGCGACGGCTCGCTTCACATATTCACGTGACAGATGCACGCATGCATGGCACACCCGCAGCTGCTCGCGCAAATTGTGTGCAACCACGTGCTGCACGGCGCTTTCGGCAAGCTCGTGCCTGTCGTGCCGACTTCGGCGTGGGCTCCTGATACCGCGGGGATCGTTCAGCCTTGAACGGTCGGCCGTTGCCGACACGTCAGATCGTTCGACACCAACCGATTCAGGGTCGCCGACGGCGCTCCACGTTGAACACCAACGGCGGGGTCGCCGCCTGTCCCGGGCGGGTGGTAATGTGGGGCGGCCCCAGTTGAGGGGTGAAGGGAAGGGCCCTACAGGGGCCCTTTGGGGCCCCTCTTTGGGGCCGGCTGGTGCCCGAACGGGGCCCCAAGGAAAGGGCCCCTTCAGGGCCCTTTCCTTCGCCCCCCAATTGGGTCACCCCCCATTGCCACCCGCCCGACGGTCGACACGACGCGAGCTTTACCATAAACAGGGGCTGTGACTTTGAAAACCCGGGACGCTGGCGCGTCCCAGAAACCTTCCGCCATGGGTCGAACAGGCCTCGGAAGAAATTAGCGAACACTCGTGCCACATTCATGTGCCAATGCTCCCCCCCCCATGATCAATGTTGGCAGTGGGTTGGATGAGCTGCGCTTCGACCGCAGTCTTCTTCGCGCGTGCCAACTTTGAGCTTTGGGCCCCTGGAACTCCAAGTGCAAAGGAGGAGGAGGAGGAGGAGGAGGGGGAGGAGGAGGAGGAGGAGGAAAAGGAGGAGGAGGAGGAGGAGGAGGAGGAGGAGGAGGAGGAGGAGGAGGAGGAGGAGGAGGAGGAAGAAGTGCTGGAGAGCAGGGGGGCTCTTCATGGCAGGCCTCTCGCGGGGCTCCCCGCGACGGCGGCGCCTCCTCGAGCGCCGCGCGGTGCCGCCTCGCGCGCGGCCCGGGCCGTTGGCCCTGGCCTTCGGGGGAGTGTCCACCGATTGTCTCCCTCTGCCTCGGGAGCGGCCAAGAGGGGGGTGCCCAAGAGGGGGGGGTGCCCAAGAGGGGGGGGTGCAAATCGTGACCGGCGGCACGTGCGCGGCCCAGCGGGGGGGCCCGGGACGTGAGGAAACAAGAAGAGACGCCATGAGATCTGGGGAAATATCATGGCCCACGCCATGATCTCCCCCTGTGTATGGGGTTGAAGTACAAGGGTACAGAACCCCTGATCCGTTGGTAGAGGGAAGGAGGGATAGATGGATGTCTTTCCCTCCTGCACGATCAAAGGTCTGATCGATCTGTCCCAATACCTGAGCCCAAACGGCCAGGCGCAGGAGAGGTGAGGATAAGGAGTATATATGAGGGTATTACACGGGTTCTATTCACCCCCCCCCCCCCTAAGCATCACCCCCCTCTTTTCCGCCCCCGACCTCTGCCGAGGCATGCGCCGCACCTCGCCCTCGCCGGGCAGAAGTCTCGGCGGCCCAGCCGGCAGAGGCCCGGCCTGCGGTCGGGCGTGTCCCCCTACAGGGGGATGTTCGACGAAATATAAAAATACGCCAAACATGCCCCCAAAAGTTCAACAGATACTTAAAAAATAATCCCCAGACTATTTCTGGACTACTTTTTGGCTATTGTTGGGGGTATTTTTAAATTTTTCGTCGAAGATCCCCCTGTAGGGGGACAGGCCCGACTTAAGCCTGGCTTGCAGTGAGGGCAGCCCCCGAGAACACGAGGACCCTCCGCCAGCCCATACTGCAGAGCCTTCGATGGTGCCCTCCCCCAGGATGCACAAGAACATCCAACAAGCATCCTTGGGGCCATCTTGGGCGCCCTCCTCCTTCTCCTCCTCCTCCTCCTCCTCCTCCTCCTCCTCCTCCTCCTCCTCCTACTCCCCCTCCTTCCCCCCCCCTCCCCCTCTCCCGATTCCGGCCCTCCCCCTCCCCCGATTCTGCCCAAGATCGCTCGAAGAGCCCAAGATGCCCAGTCGGGCATGTCCTCCTACAGGCGGATCTGGGGCGAAAGCCGTACAATAGCCAACAACAGCTCAGGCAGACATAGTCAGCAGCAGTAGACACATCGTCCCCCGACCATTTTTGGACACCTCGGGGATCCTCTGACCCGGGTCAATCCAGACCCGGGTCAGTCAGACCATGCAGGATCCTGCAAGATCCTGCACCCAAACCCAGGTCAACGCGAAGGATCCTGCAAGATCCTGCAGGATCCTGCACCCAAACCCGGGTCAGTGCACCCCTGGCCCTGCAGGATCCTGCAAGATCGGGCGCTCTGGCTGACCCCCGTTTGCATTGACCCCCGTCTCAGGGCTCCCGAACACCATGCTTGAACACTCCTCCGGTAGAGGGGCAGGCACGGCTCAAGACAAGCACGAAGCACATTCGGAGGCCCTCCCCAAGCCGACCGCGACCTCACGCCTCGGTTCCGACCGTGGGGGGCCCCGAGGGGCGAGGGGAGGGAGGGCGGCGGCAGCGGGCCCCGGAGGGGGAGAGCGGCAGCGCGCCCGGGCGGGGAAGGGGGATGGGCCAGCGGCAGCGGGCTTCGTGCCCCCCCTCTCTCCTCTCTCTCCTTTCCTCGTCGTCGTGAAGGGGCCCAGGGGCACACAACAAACAAACACACACACACACACATCCCAGGACCTCGCATCTTTTACCGCATGTTCTGGGTCTTCGTCTCCCCCCCCCCCCACTGCCCATCTTTCCCCGTACTTTCCTGGGAATCGACGATGAGTTGTTCCTGTGTGTTCTTCCCCTCCCGACTCTGTGCCTCTCTCTCTCTCTCTCGCCTTGCCGTCGGGGGTCCCCGAACAGCGCGGTGGCAGACCGCGCGGTGGCCCCTCGGAGTCTCGCAGGACCTCGCCGCACGTGTGCGCCACCGCACGGGGCTCCCCTCGCCCCCTCGGGGCGCGCAGGGGCCCCGGCACTGCGAGGCAGGGCAAGGTCGGCCATAGACGGGCCAGGAACAGCACCGGAGCGAGTAGCAAAGTGCATGTGCTTCTTCGCCTGCGGGAGCCCCGGCCAGCGGCCCTCCTGAGGGGGGGCGCTGGCGAGATCTTGACAATCGAAGCCTCGCGAGAGGCGTGGTGCCAGCAGTCGGTGGAACAGTCGCGCTGGCCTGGCCCCCGGGATCCAGCCCTCCGCGCCCACGTCTCGGGGGCGCCGCCGGCGATGCCGGGGGCGGGCGCGGGCCAGCCCTGGCAAAGGGGGCCCCACGAGGCACCCGTGGAGCAGGTCGAGGTCGAGGCGGCCCTGGCCTCGAGGGACCGCGCGGGGGCCACTGCGCCAGACCTGGTGCCGCGCAGGGCAATTGCAGTTGGGCTGCAGGCATTTCCTGACCGCCGTCTGACTACCTACCGGACCACCCCAACCCAGCCCGAAGACCCGAATTTGACACGAATGTCGGGTTGGGGGGGGTACGGATTCCATGTGTTTTTTCAATGTTCCCCGACCCCCCCCCCACTAGAAATGGAGTGCAAATCGAGGCCTTCGGGTTGGGTTGGGGTGGTTTGGTGGGTGGTGGCCGTCTGCCTGGCCCCGCGCCCGACGGGCCCGGGGGCGCCTCGCTGCGCGGCCGGTTGCCTGGCGGGGCAGCTGCGCAGCCCCTCTGCGCAGGGAAGGGCCGCCGGATGTCGGGGGGGCCCTTCCGGCCAATGATGATAACATCGCAGAGGGCTCCGTTGCCAGAAATGGTCGTCCACGGAAGGCCGGCCGCACAGCTGCGCGCGTCCGTCTTTCCAGGGCAGAGCGGGTGCTGCCGCGGTGTCGGAGGCGCGCGCCTCGCTCTACGCGGGCTTGCAGCAGAGGCGGCGCACTGCGGGCGGCCCTGGTGGGCAGTGTTCGGATACCTTCAGAAGGCTTTCCCGCGCACTTGGCGGGGGGCGCTCCTTCTGCGGCTGCACGAGACGGCAGGCGTACGTGACGGTATGCTGTCGCTCCTGGGAAGCATGTTCGCGTCGGACACTATTCATGTGAATTTCAATGGAGTAGCCGCGGTGGTCATATACCAAGGGATTGCGGAAAAGGGGGCGGTGGGGCCGCTCGCTTTTCCCGCCTACATGGGCTCCCTCACAGAGGCGCTGCACCACGCGGGCTTCGGCGTGGGGGTCGGCGCCAGCGTCCCGCGTCTCTGGACGGGGCACGCTGGCGAGGGACGGGCGCGCCCGATCATGACACCGCGCGAACACTGACTCGCGCGCTACGGGATGGAGCGCCGCTTCCCGCGGCCGCCGAACTCGCCAACGACCTGGTGCTGGAAGCCTCCGCGTTGGCGGCGCTGGGCGCCTCAGCGCCGCTGCGCCTGGCGGCCGTCCTCCACGCCGACGATCCTGTCCTGCTGTCCCCCACCAGGGGAGGAGCGCAAATTGCTCTGACCACGCTTGCGGAGTGGGCCTTCACCTACAACACCTCTCCACACAAGTCCTCCAAACACGCAGTCGTCGTCCAAGGCCCATCTACTGCCAGGAGGGCGGGGGCTGACGCCGTACCCCTCACCCTGCCTCTCAAGGGAGGACTTCCTGTCCAGATGGGTTTCAAAGCCGCGCGCCAGTGGCTTGGACTGATGTGGCCAGGAGACCTCGCCCTCGAACGAATCATGGATGCACGGTTGCGCCCAGCATCTGCGCAGTGTGCATCTCTGGTGGGGCACGTCACCGCGGGGGTCGTGCCGCTCGCCGTCGCTGCCCACATCTTCGAGTCCCAGGTCGACTGCGCGCTCAGGTTTGGTCGCTGGCCCTGGGCAGTGGCTGAAGGGGCGCCAGGCAAGCTGCGGGACAACTACGCTGCCTGGGCGCGCGCTCTCCTGGGCGCCACGCCTTGGCGTCACTCGGGATTGGCCCTCTCGGAGCTGGGATGGTCGCTCTCAGGCCCCGCTAGGGCTGCGTACGAGATCGCCACCCGGCGCGCAAACCTCTGGAGGCTTCAGGAGGACGACCTCTACAGGCGCACCTTCCTGCGAGCCTATGGATCGGGGGGGCGATCCTGGGCGCAGCGCTCGCGTGCTCTTCTCGATCACTGGTCCATTCCTGACTGGCCTGCATGGGAGGTCGCTCACAGCGGGCAGTCCTTGCTCCAGTGCAAGAAATTCGTACGAGCTCACTTGGCGGAGCGCTGTGAAGTGGAGCTGCGGCAGATGGTGCGCCTCAACACGAGGCCGCTCCCGTTCCTCAGTCTCGGGCCGGTCCCCAGACCGGATCTCGCGCGGGCCCTAAAACAAGAGCTTCCTTTTGAGGTGCTACTGGGCCAGCGTTCGCTGAGCAGGCTACGAGGGCGGCTTGTGGCCCTCAGCCACTCCTCTGGCAGCGTTTCTACGGCGTGGAGGCAATTCTGCGTCCTGTGCGGCATCCAGACCCTGAGCCACGCTTCATATTCTCGGGCTGTGCTCTCGCACGGAGCTCCCCCGGCGCACTAGTCACTCCCTGGGAGGCCCAAAGGGGGCCTGGCCCCTTCCTCCGCGGAGGCGGTGGCTGCACTGGTCCTTTCCGCAGGCCCGACGGATGCCGGGTACTCGCAGGCGGCCCCGCTGGCGCTTTTTATCGAGAGGGAGGCGGATCGTTTCTGGGCTGCCGCAGGGAACAGTTCACACCCGCCCTCCCTCCCTCCCTCCCTCCCGCCTGGATTCCCAGGAGGGTGGGTCGGGTCGGGCAGGGTCCTCTCTCCCTCCTCTCTCCTCTCCCTTGGGGTGGCTTCCTCTCCCCCTTCATGTCGCCGTCCCGCACCTGCGTCGTGCGTCGACATGGCAGCGTAGGAGGGATCGGACGAGCCCCGGGCAGGATCCCCATGCCCGGCCCCCCCCCGTTCCCGCGGGGAGTCCCCGAGTTGCCTCTCCCGCGTCGCGCCTGGCAGGGGGTGGAGAGTCGGAGTCTGCCGGGGCGTGTTGATTCGGCGGGGGTTTTGGTCCTGGCCTGTTTTCTCGTGGGGCCTGCCTGTGGGCCCTTCGGCCGTTGGGGCCTGAGGCTCCTTGTTTTCTCCGGGTTTCGTCTCCGCCGTCGGAGCTCCGACAGCTCCCCCCTCGCCCCCTCCTGCGCTGGTGGATTGGCTTCCAGGGCCGTCGCAGCACGGACGCTTCATCCGAGCCCCCCCCAGGCCGTGGCGCCGTGCTGAAAGGGAGCTGCGTCCGAAGCTCCCGAATGCCGGCTCAATGGGAGCACCACCAACCAACCAACCAACCTCCTCCTCCTCCTCTTCCTCTTCCTCTTCCTCCCCCTCCTCCCTCATCCTTCCCCCCGTCGTGCGGGTCGGCGCTGCTGCGCACGTGCGTATCTCAGCGTGCACCGCAGAATGGTAGATTGAATCAATCCACTTGGTTCTCTGACGGCCACTTCTGCAGGAGCATTTTGGTCGCAGATGGATGGAACTAGGATGATGCGGGAGGACTCGGGAGGACTCGGGAGGACTCCCAATCCAGCGGCGCTCCTTTTTCCGCGAAGGTGCCTTTCCAAATCCTGTATCCAACAATTGTCTTCTGTGGAATCCACAGGCGCTCTATGTTGTCATAAGGATTTCTTCTCAAAAACTATATGCCACAATGGTGCTCTGTTGCACACGGTTGCCGTGGTGGACTCAGGCGTCGAGGTGTACAAAGGCGCTGTGGTGCACGCGGGCACTGTGGTGTACACTGGTGCTGTGTTGCGCACGGCTGATGTTTTGTACGTAGGCGCTGTGGTGTACACAAGCGCCATGCTGCACGCAGGCACTGTGGCACACACTGGTGCTGTGTTGCACGCGCCTGCTGTGGTGTACATAGGCGGTGTGTTGTACACAGGCGCTGTGGTGCACGCAAGCACAGTGGTGCACGCAAACGCTGTGGTTCAGATCGCCACCTACATGCTGCTCTCATTTGGCCTCGGTCATCCGAAAGCATTCCCGGACGCCGGCGGCGCGAAACGTGACGTCATCGGCCCCCCCCCGCCCCAGATGGCGGCCGTCATCGTCTCGGAATAAAAAAAAAACAGGCTCAACGGTGGGGGGGGGCGGATCCAACCTCCCCCCCAACGTACGATCGTGGGGAGAGAGGCGGGTAATGACCGCTACTTTTTCGTTCGCGAGCGACACAGAGCAACTGCGCGCCGTCAAACAACGAAGCAACAGCGCTACGATCTAAGTAACGACCGTTACGCGCCAGACGATAAAAAAACAGTCCCTCAGCACGGCTCGCCCATGCCTACCTCTGGGCAGCCGATGCAGTAAGAGCTCGACCACAAGAAACCTCCCACAAGAAACCCAACCCTGAGACCCCAAGACGTCCATCGTTTTTTGGCGCGGGTACGCCACAGCACCCTGCGGGCAAGCAAGGCGTATCTTGGCACGGGCTTCCGCCGATGGGCCCTCCAGCCCAGGGCAGCGGTGCATAGAAGAGCAAAAAACACCATAAACATGAACTTGTGGATCCTCGCTGGACCCTCCTCCCTGGCGCGCGGAGCGCGCCAAGGGCGGCGCCGGAGGCGCCGCTGGGGGGCCCAACGCGGATCCGAGCAATCCGCGCGGAGCGCCAAAAGTTCATGTTGATAGCGTTTGTTCGTCTTCGAGTGCAGCGACGCGTCGCCCAGCCAGCTGCGCCCAGAGGCCGAACGCCGCAGCGAGAGCCCGCCGACTGAAGGCGGCGCCGGGCGATGCGACCGCCGCAGGGCCCAGCGCGCAGGGCCCGCGCGAGGGCGGGCAGGGCAGCCCCAGGCCGGGGCAGCCCAGCCCCAGAGCATCGTGCGAAGACCCTTGACATCGTCGTCGTCGTTGCCGTCGCCGTCGTCGTCGTCGTCGTCGCCGTCGTCGTCGTCGTCGACGTCGTCGTCGCCATCGTCGTCGCTGTCGTCGTCGTCGTCGTCGTCGTCGTCGTCGTCGTCGTAGCCGTCGTCCTCCTCGTCGTCGTCGTGTGAAGGCCGTCGGGGGCTCGCCACCGGCCAGCGACTGCTGGGCCGACAGCGTCTTCGATCCGCCGTCCCTGCGGTCTTACCACAGGAGTCCACGCTGTGCCCTGCAAGCGGATAGCGTGCCGCTCCGCTCTGGGCGGCGGGAGGTCGGGAAACGCTCGGGGCATTGGTGCTGCAAGACGGGGCCACAACGAGGATAACATCGGACACGAGTAGCTCGAGACTTTCTGAGATCCGGCGGCGCTGGGGGATGTCTAGACGAGCGCGTTCCACTGCTCGCGCAGTACCTACTCGCAAATGGCCTGGATCCGCCGCGGGGGATCTACGATACATCGCATCAAAACAGGCATGCGTGTTCTTCGAGCGTTTGCGAGTAGGCACTCTGCGAGCAGTGGAGCGCGCTCAGTGACTGTCTCGGGCGCCGCGGCCTCCTCAGAGCGTGCCGGAGCGCTATGAGAGCGTTCCGGGCAGTGGACAGCGTGCCGCAGCGAAGCGCGGTGGGCCAGAATCGGCGGAGCGGCATGCGATCCCAGAGCTCCCGACCGTAAGGAAACCTTGGATCATGTATCCAGGGTCTGAAAGCCAGTGGGACGCCAACTGACGCGTCGCCAGGAGTAGCGCGTCGCCGCCCTCACAAGATGAAGAGCCATCCAGAGTCTGAAGCCTCCCGGGCACATTCCTTCACGAACGCTCCCTCCGTACGGATCATGATGAAGGGGCCCCAGGACACACACACAAATCAATACACACAAATAAGAAGATTCTCCATATTTTCTTCCTATATTGTCTGGGTGTTTGTCTTCCCCCCCACTTCCCATATGTTTTCCCATACTTTCCGGGGGATCGACGATTCATTGTGTCTGTGTGCTTTTTCCCCTCCTGACACACCGGGTGACTCGCTCCCTGGTTGTCGCACGCTTGCAGCTCCCTGGCAGCCCCGGCAGCTTGCTGTTCCCGCCCCCGGCACCTCTTGCAGCCCCGGCGCTGAGGCTTCCCCCGGCGGTGGGTCCTGCTCTGCTCCGCGCTGGGTAATCAGGCCCCTGCGCGGCCCGCTTGGACCTGACTCGCCGCTGGCGCCCTCGCCTGCGGCTGCTAACCAAAAAGTTCTTCCCCCTCCTGACAGGACCCCTCCCCTCCACTCCTGGGCACATTCCTTCACGAACGCGCCCTCCGTGCGGATCATGATGAAGGGGCCCCAGGACACACAAATAAATACACACAGATCACAGGATTCCCCCTATTTTCTTCCTATATTGTTCGGGTTTTTGTCATCCCCCCCACTTCCCACATTCTCCCATATCTTTTCTGGGGGATCGAAGATTAATTGTGTCTGTGTTATTTTTATGGGACGTGAAATTGACCACTGCCACTGCTTTTCTTTTGTTGCCGCCTTCCAGCCAGCAGAAACAAAGCAGTGGTTGCGGTCATTTTCGTTAAGCTTGGCACCAGGGAAATGACCACAACCACTGCTTCTGTTTCGGCCGGCTGGAAGGCGGCGCCAACAAGAAGCAATGGCTGTGGTCATTCTCCCGTCCCGCATTTTTCCTCTCCTGGCACGGCCCCCTCCCCCCGCCACTACCGGGCACGAGGCGGGGCGAGCGGGGGCGCCCCGCGCGCGCCTCCATGTTGTTGAAGCCGGCGGAGCAGTCGAAGGGCTCCGACGCCACGGCCTGCAGGGAGCCCGCCGGCTGCTCGTCGTCGTCGTCCTCGTCGTCCTCGTCCTCGTCCTCGTCCTCGTCCTCGTCCTCGTCGTCGCCCTCGTCGTCGTCCTCGTCCTCGTCCTCGTCCTCGTCGTCGCCCTCGTCGTCGTCCTCGTCCTCGTCCTCGTCGTCGTCGTCGTCCTCGTCCTCGTCCTCGTCCTCGTCGTCGTCGTCCTCGTCCTCGTCCTCGTCGTCGTCGTCGTCGTCGTCACCGCCGTTACCATCATCATCCTGAGCAGCAGCATCATCGCCCCCCTCGTCCCCCTCCTCCTCGCCAGCTCTAGATCAGTTCGGGTGCCACCCCACTCGCACGCAGGAGAGGTCAGAAAAACCCAGGCGGTCCCCCACCCCTCCTCTGCCTCCTCCACCCTCTCCTGCTCCAACCCCCTCCCTCGTGATCGTCGTAGTCGTCGTCAACGTCGTCGTCGCAGAGGAGGGACGAAGATCGAGGATGTGAATATCTTGACACTGCTGGTCCCTCTCGGGCCCCCCGAGTCCTCAGCCTCCGAGGGGCCTCGCGGAGATCTCCGCAGGCTGTTCGGGGACCCCGCGCGAGGCAACGAACTGACCAGGGCCCCCCAGGTCTGAGGCCGGGCTAACGGCGATATTGCTCAACGGTCATGTTGGGAACCTAGCGTAGGAAATCACGAACCACACTTTCCTACACTTCCAATCTGCGAATGGATCGAGCGAGCACCGAATGGATCGAGCGAGCACGACACATCGAATTGTAGGACAGCGCGAGCCACGCGTTCCCAAAATGAGAGGCCTCCTGGGTGGGGTCCGAATAGATGGGGTCGGAGGATCTCGCCGCATCGCCGATACATCGGCGACGCATCGGCGATACACTGGCGACGTCGGCGATGCATCGGTGACGTCGGCTTGAAGAGAAGTGGGCCCCGCATCGAGCCGCATCGGCGATGCATCGCCGGTGCATCAGCGATGTGGCACGATCCTCCGACCCCGTCTACTCCGACCCCATCCAGGAGGCCTTGACACCATACCGAAACCTGCATCGCCGTTGCCTGCATCGCCGTTGGCCCGTCAACTGCAGGCCACGCGCGACCGATCCACAAGCCGGTGCGCCGAAGAGGCGGGCCGGGAATGCGGGGGGGAGGGGCGTCGCAGCACTGCTCTGCGCGAGTGCGCGGACGAAGGGAGGGGGGGGGCGAGGAACGCATCGACTGATAGTGGTATCCATGGGTAGATACGGAGACAGGTGAGACCGACTGATAGGCATACTACCGATGAGCTGAGCTCCCTCTCGGGGGTGAGGAGCAGGGGGATGAAGAGCAGGGGGTGCTGGTTATCATGGCTTGGGCCACAGGATCTCCCAAATCTCAGAGGCCCCTCCTCTTAGGTCACGCTCCTGAGGATCCCCCCGATAAATACAGAGACCGATTAGACCGCATGTATGTGCATAAGTACATGCTCGCCAGCGACAGTGTGTCTCTGGCAGCCTATAGTGTGCAATCTATGTGCAGCAGTCTACGTTGTACAAATCATCTGGTGCCATCTATGTTGTACAACACAAGTAGTGCAATCCAGACTGTGCAATCTACATGGTGCAACCAACGTGGTGTAATTCAGTTGCCGAACATGGAATTGTCAACTCCACTGCTCGTGCCATCATCCCACCCACCCACCCGCAACTTGGTTTGCAAAACCCACGCGGAAACGATTGCGATGACTGCTGGCTGGTCCATGTTTGCGGCCTCGCTAGCCCGCGCATGCTCGCGCGCGCAGCGGCCAGCTAGTTTGGCGCGACCGACGCGAACGCGGTGGCGCTGACCGCTGTGCACATCCCCATGGGCATTCCAATGCGAATCGGCGACTTGGGCGGGCGCGGGACCATGGTAACGTCGACAACGGTAGACACGATGATGATAGTAGCGATGCTGGTGACGATGCTGACAACGACGACGCGGCAGCCAGTGACAGCGCCGATGCTGATCACGCCAGCGACGATGACGACGTCTTCGCGTCGGTGATGAAGGTTTTTGAAGGAATTCGAAATGCGTGCCTGCAGACGCGCGAGCGTGGCCCGCGTGGAACTATTTGAGACGGATCGTGCTACCCCAGCACGTGCGCAAAGGCTTCCGAACGATTTCGACATGTGCGCGGACGAATTCCGTTGGTGGTATTAAAAAACCCAAATGATGTTCTTAAGAACTCGCAAGAGCGTGTGCAAGCTTTCGGGGGAAATCCTTGTGCGAAACCCTTTGTTTTAATATGTTCTTTTGGACTCGATTCTGAATCCTTACGAAACCAAAAAGGTTTTTCCGAAGGATTTCGGCTTGCGCGCGCGACGACGCGCGCGTGCGCACCTCGTCCCGTTTTTTTGCAAGGGGTTTTGACAACTTGATAAACGAGTGTGCGCGCATGGTATTTTTGCAGAAGATGGCGGGGGGGGCGATGCCTGGCTGGGATAGTATGAATTCATATTTAGGGTGGGCGATGGGGCAGAACCACATGTAAATTGCAATGCAAAAAAGGAATGTCGATAATCCGGGGGGGGAGAGTCTGATTTTATCTTTAAAACAAGAAAAAATACAGTCGACCCGTACCATACGGATGCACGAAAATGATGCAAGGGCCTTGGAAGGCCATTTCGAAGCTTTTTGAGCGGGGAGCGGCCAGCGACACTGGCCAAGGAAGGATCGAGGAGGCACGGATGCAAGATGATGCAAAGGTACCCTGAGGAAAATTACCAATGCTTACTATGCGGGTTGACTGTATGTGGTGCAATCTATGTGGTGCAATCCACTTTGACCGTCTTGAAGCTGTCCTCTCTACTGCTCGTGCAAACATCCCACCCTCCCACCCGCAACTTGGTCGCAGTACTTCTTCAGACAAGACCGTGACGTTAGGTACCACATGGCACTTGGCAACGACACCGACGCCGACGACGACAGCGACAACGACGACGACGGCGCCGCAGACACCGACTACGACGACACCGCCGACGTCGACGTCGACGAATACGACGACGACGCCGACGACGACGACGAAGACGACGACGACGTCGCCAACGGAGACGACGACGAGGGAGGAGAAAAAACGACGACGGCGACAACGACGACAACGACGATGGAGGAGGGAAGACGGCGACGACGCCAACGACGAAGAAGGAGGAAGGACGGCGACGCCGACGACGACAACGACGAGGGAGGAGGGAAGACGACGACGACAACGACGACGAAGACGACGACGACGGCGACGAAATAGGAGGGACGACGACGAGACGCCGACGACGGACGGACGACGACGACGAGGGAGGAGGATAACGACGAGGGAGGAGTGAAGACCACGACGACGACGACGACGGCGACGAAATAGGAGGGACAACGACGAGACGCCGACGAAGACGACGAGGGAGGAAGGACGACCACGGCGACAACGACGACGGAAACGACCACGACGCCAAAGAGGACGACGACGACGAACACGAGAAAAGACAGAGGACGACGTAGGCGACGACGACGACGACGACGCGGGAGGAGGGAGGACGGCGACGACGACGACGACGCAAGAGCGCGCGCACGCTTTTGTTGAAAATCCGTGTTGCGAAACCTTGGTTTTTGTAAGATTTTTGGACACACGATTTTGAAATCCTTCCGAAACCGATGGGTTTTGAAGGATTTCGGCATACGCGCGCGACGACGCGCGCGTCTGCACTTCGACCCATTGTTTGCAGAGGATTCTCGCGACGGCACACGCGCAAGGGCGTTCGAAAGATTTCGACATGCGCGCGCGCGAAGACCGTTTTATAGCATTTTGTGAAAATCTTGAAAAACCTTTGGTTTTCTTAAGATTTCGCAAGAGCTCGCGCGGAAACTTGTTTAGCAAATCAATGTTGCGAAACCCTGTGTTTTTGTATGTTTTGTGGAAACTCGATTGCGAAATCCTTCCGGCACCGAAGGTTTTGGAAGGATTTCGGCATGCGCGCGCGACGACGCGCGCGTGCGCACTTCGTCCCATTTTTTGCAAGGGATTCGCGAAAAGGTGTTGTGTTATAACAAAGTATGTCACCGCATAGTGTTTTTTACAAGGGAACCTCAGGGGGGGGATACCGGTTAGCCTGGGACATTGTGATTTCATATTTAGGATGGACATGTGGTCATAATCATAATCATATATGATTTACATACCCGAAAGGGGGGCCGATAACGCCGGGGGGGGGGAGAGTCTATTCTCTTTTTAGAAAGGAGAATTGACGCACCGCGCGTGACCACCTCCAATGCTCGTGCACACATCCCACCCTCCCACCCGCAACTTGGCTGGCAAGACTCGTGCCGAGGCAGCGCCTGCAGGCCCGCGCCCCAGCTGGCGGCCGCGCGGATGGAGGAGACAAAGAGCCGGAGGGTGGAAGGAGCAGGCCCGAGACACACGAGGGAAGCGGCCAGGGCGAAGGCCAGAGCGAGCAGGGGAGAGCGACGCGGAGGGAGAGAGGACGAGGGCAGGACGAAACGAAGCGAGAGAGACTGAAGGGAGCAGGAGAGAACATGCAGGGGGGCAGGGAGACAGAAGGGAGGACGGAGGATGGAAGGAGCAAGAGGACTCAAAGAGACGGGAAAGGAGAGACGGGAACGACAACGGAGAAGGGAGGAAGGGAGGAACGGAGAGCGACGCGGAGGGAGAGAGGACGAGGGCAAGAAGAGAATAAGCGAGAGAGAGAAGAGAAGAGGGAGCAGGAATGGACATAGAAAGGGGTAGGGAGACAGAAGGGAGGACGGAGGATGAAACAGGACTCAAAGAGGAGGGAAAGGAAGGAAGGGAACAACAACGGAGAATGGAGGAGGGAGGAAGGCAGGAATGCGCAGGGGGAAGAGGAGAGAGGCGTCAAGAACAGAAAGGTGGCCTCCATTTCCCGCAAGGGAGTGGCGCGCAAGGAATAGGGGAATGGCCCCCTCACTTCCCACAGGGGAATGCCGCGCATGTGGCCCGCATGGTATTTTTGGATCGGGCTT